AGAGCAATAGCCTTAAATTCTCAATATCTATCTAATGCACGATAAAACATACCAGTAATTACCGTTAACAAATCAGCAGTATAACGAGAAGATTGAAATCCATATTGATGAACTGAAAGTAAGTTATTAGATTCAAGATGAGAGATTAAATGTTTGTTAATTAAAGGTTTAAAAAACCTTGCTTATTATAGGAAGAAAACTAATGGGACGGTAGTTAGATGAGTTAGATTGCTCCCCAAAGTTTTTGAAAATAGGAATAACAGATGCCGCTTTCCAGCAGGCTGGAAAACAAGTCTCTGAAAAGCACTTGTTAAATAGTTTTGAAAGTATAGACGACAGCTCTCCGAAGAACACTTCTGCAAGACTGTAGCAGATGTGTTATCTGGAACACAAGTTGTAGAAGAGTCTAAACAGGAAATCACTTTAGATACAGAAGCTGGAGTGTTACGAAGGTGATGCAATGGATTAATCTGTTTCTCGGCTATACCTATTAGAATTAAAAGATAGTATCAATGACAAGCTTTTAGCAAACAATTCAGCTTTATCTTTAGGTAAGATGACAAAGTTTGAACCATGCAAGAGAGATGGAATAACAGATTTGCCCTTGTTGTAGACACTGTTAATGATTCTCCAAGTCTCAAAAGTCTAATATTTGAGATGAAATACGAGGTTTTGTGACCTGAGAATTGCGGGCTTTGGTTATAGACAAAACCTTTTTACAATGTTTCTAGCCGTAGTAAATAGACGTCTGTTTTCTGGAGAATTTTTTTACCAATAGATATGAAAGAAATGGTTGCAATTAGAAATTTCAGCAACACAATGAGCAGAAAACCATGAAGAGGAGTGAAGCTTGACTTGGAACTGTAAAAAGAGAATAAAGTATTTCATGCCAGCTTGAATCCAAGAAGTTACATTCGAAGCACATTTGTCAGCAGGAAGACAAAAGACTTCTACCCACGGGTCATCCTGAAGAAAATTGTGGAAAGAGTCTCATTTAGCTTTAAGGAAGTTGTAAGAGGTACAGTGAAAGAGGGAATCTGATGATGAAGAAGAATGAAATAATAATTTTAGATCAAATTGTGATCAATGGTAAATGTGGAGAAACTGAGCACTGTCAAGGATCAGAAACAAGACATAAATTGAGTAGAGAAGATAGATGATTTGAATTGCGAAAGCGAGTTAGAAAGTTGACTACTTAAGTTAAAGATTGAGAAAGACAAACTTTGTGGACCTTAACACTTGCAGAGTGACAGACATTAGAGCCAAACCATTAAGTTTGATGAGCAATAAAATCACCAACAACAACAGTATCGGCTGAAGGATAAAGAAAGAGGGTTTGGTCAATTTAATCAAAAATAACATTGAAAAGAGTGCATTTGCAAGTGCAGCGATATAGAACAAAGAGAAAGGAAATCGAGTGAAGTGGTGCTAAACGAAAGCACATAAAAGAATAGTCTGTAGATTTAAATCTGGTTTCCCTACAAATGGATGAATTTTGTATAATGTAAATGCCCAAGCCAAGCATGTAACTATTGAAGTCTTTACGAATTAAAGGAATATAACTATCAACACTAATATTACAAGATGAGACATCCAAACTCAAATCAGTCACACAAAGAACAAGTAGGTTTTGTGATCTTTTCAACAGAAAAAAAAGTACTTTGAAGACCACGCATATTAGTGAATGATAGATTTAGAGAACTTGGTGATGACAGTTTTTTTGGTGATTGGTGATGGTTTTTTTGTGTTTTATAGTTTTTGGTACCTTTTCCATTTTTCAGTTTTTTTCATAAATGTATCAACATCAGTTTTTTGGAATTCGCTTCCTTTATCTTGCTTTCCTGATTCATATAACTTGCTATCTTTAAAGTCATCTGTCAATCGTTATTATGCTCTACAATCTACATCTTTTCTCTTCCAGTAACTTCCAACTCTAATGGTGGTTGTTTGCAGCATTGTTGGAAGCAAAGATGTTAAAAAAAAAAGCCCTAATAAAGGGAACCAAATATAACCTCAACAATGCACATTAAAAGTATAAACAGGACACCATCCATGCGCAACATAACGCTGTTAGTATTCTAATACTTTGCAGCTATTGATGGAATCAGCATCTTTGAGAGCTACCACAGAGTTTGGGAAACCTGACAATAAGCCGGCCTCAGAACCATAAAACTGTGTTTTAGAGTTGTAGCCTCATTAGGAGATAATAGAATGAGTTTACTTGTCATAAAAACAGAAACACAAGCAAAAACCATACATTGAGTCAAGAAGATCCAGTATTCAACATCCTAAACTAGAAACAATATATTATAAATACATCTGCGCCAGGCATATAGATGAAGAAAGGGTGCAAGGCTGGTCAACAAATAGAATTTGTTTACCATTTAAGTCTTTACATTGGAGGCGTTCTACAAGACAGTATGATGCCTATTACGTCTGCCCAAAGATGACTGTTTTTATCGAGACACCATTTCTAGCCTTTAATCAAACAAGAACCAACCAACCATAAACACAATAGCTAAATATACATATAAATTAGTTACAAACAGTTAACTGATAAAACATAACAACTAACATGGACATAATACAGTTATTTAAAAAGAATTTAATAAAATAGGAATAATAGCAGTAAAGTTAAAAATAATAGTAATTGTGGTTACAATAAATATTTAAAATTAAAAGAAGTAATACTATAACAAAAAATATAGCAAAAATATAATAAAAATTAAAGATAAAATAAAGAAAAACAAAAAAGCATTAAAAAATGAGAAAGTTTTATATTTTTACATGCATACACAAACATAAATATAAAGATATATACACGTACTTACCCACATGCATAGATACACACATTTGCACATAAATACACACGCGCGCGTACATTCACTTACATACAAAACATTTTTAAAGATGTATATATTTTTCAGGCTGTATATGCATATGTATACATACACATATGGATAAATATACTCATATACAGCCTGAAAAATATATACATTTTTAAAAATGTACACCCAACATAAAATGAAAAAAAATTAAAAAAATACATAACGGTATGTATTTTTTTATGTATGCACTAAAAAATATAACAATATGTTTTAGCGCAGTAGTCTAGTTTATACACTACAATGTCCAATCAACAATACACAAGAATACAAAAACAAAAAACAACAACAAAAAAATAAACGTCCCTCAAAATGAATAAGATTTAAAAAATATTATTTTTCGTTTCTTCAAAAACTGAGCAATTTTTATATCTTATTTTAATTCTTTTAATTACTTCCCATTTTCGAATGTCTTTTTCTTTCAACTTTGGATTTTTATCTTTTATTTTTCTTTTCTTTTTACTATTTTTTATCTTATTTAGGTCGTTGCGCTTTTATATATATATATATATATATATATATATATATATATATATATATATATATATATATATATATATATATATATATATATATATATATATATATATATATATATGTGTGTGTATTTATAATTAAATTAATCGGTATACCACTGATGGCCGCCAATGGAGCTGGAAAAGAGAAGGTAAACCATTAATCCAAAAAGATTTTAATCAGACAGTAAAACATGGGGGAGGCAATATTAAACTATGGCGATGTATGACGGCTTATGGATTGGGACCAATTCGAAGAATAGTTGGAAACATGAATAAGGAAATGTATTTTGATATTTTACAGCACGAATTATTGGAAACTGTTTTCTTTCAACAGAACAATGATCGAAAGCACACTAAAATGGTTAAGAATTGGTTAGCTTCGCAGGACTTTCAAGTGCCAGAATGGCCAATACAAAGTCCTGATTTGAACCCAATAGAAAATTTGTGGTCACAATTAAAAAAAGCACTCGTTAATAACTATTCTGACTCTCCATCATCCATTAATGTGTTATATGAACGAGTTCATGAACAGTGCCAAAATATTTCGTTAAACCTTTGCGAAAATCTTGTAAAGAGCATAAATAGAAGACTAGCAGCAGTTAAAAAATGCTAAAGGATTATGGAGAAAATATTAAAAATTGACAAAAACTGACAGTTTTTGTCAATTTTTGCAAAAGTGATTCACCATGTTTTTCATTTATTATTTTGTAAATAAACATTTTTCTTCAATAAATACTTAATAAAAATTAATTCAATAAATACTTAATAAAAATTCAATAAATACTTAATAAAAATTCAATAAATACTTAATAAAAATTCAATAAATACTTAATAAAAATTAAAAAAACACTTAATAAAAACTGTTTTTTTAATAATAATTTCTATCAGCAATATTAATTCTCAAAATTCTAAATTCTTTATTAGAAAATAAAAATATTATGCATTCTGGTTCAGTTTCGCACCATACTGTATCTTAATGAGAAGATTTAATTTTTATTGCAGCCTTAAGTTTCGGGACAAATGTTACGCAACTGTCATCTATGTCAAAGATACTTTTGTTATGTAAAAATATTGAAGTAGTTAAGTATATATAAGGTGTGGAATGTGATGGAATAGACTTACTTATAATTATCAAAAAATTGTGAATATTTAAGTGAATATTTAAATTAATAAACTTATAAAAAATTAATATAGGTTTAGTTAGGAAACTTTCGTATTGGTGGACCTAATTAAAGGGAATTTTAATTAGGAAACATTTGAAGTCGTGTTTGCAGTTATTTGTAAAAAAAAATTAATGCAACTAAATGTTAATGTTTACGCTTAATGTTGAATATTTTAAATCATTTAAAATATATAACATTAAGTGTAAACATTAACATTAGTTGCATTAAATTTTTTTTTCCAATTTTTTTTTTACGTTTTCTAATTAAATCTTTAATTAAGTCCCTTTAATTAATTATAACCCTTTAATTAAGAATTTAAATTAAATGGCTTTTTCTGTTTTAAAATATGAATTTTTGATCACCGAACCTCAAGATAACAAAAAGTTTTACAAAAAGACGAATACGTAATAACCACAACGAAGGAGTGTACAAATAGATTGTTCTCGAAGTGTTTAGAAAAGCAGAATAATTTGTGACGTTTTCTCTAGAAAGACATAAATTTGTGCTGTTAGCCATAAAGCGCAAGCAATGCAACAAAAAGAAGCTACTAAAAGAGAAGCAAAAAAGCTAATAAAAAAGGTAAAGATCGTTTTTTGATGTCTTAATTTTAAACATTGTCTTGATTTTTTTAAATTTACAATATCTTGATTAAGCATGATTATTATACTCATAAAACTTTAGTGCGTTTAGTTGAAGTGTATTTATTATAGTGATTTATTATTATATATATTTTGTGTGTAACTTGATTTTAGTTACGCTTAATAAAAATGTTAACTTTTTTTTTCTAGTGAAAAATGTCTTTGTGGCACATTCCTGTTCATAAATATTTTGAAACCGATCCATTATTTGATGATATACTGGAGATAACATTTCCTCCTTTAAGATATTTTCCATTATTCAATGTTGGAACAAAAGCTGTTTCAAAAAAGAAGATTCCGAAAGAGAATGGTTTTGTTGTAAATCTTGATGTCAAGCATTACAAGCCAGAGGAAGTTACTCTCAAAGTAGAAGGTAAATTTCCAGGTCTAAAATTTATAAACGAAAAGCTCGTAGCCAGCTTCTCATATTTTATATTTTATTGTTAATTTTTCGCTATTTAAGGAATTACGCTCTTTCGGTGTTTTGTTTTATGGAATTTTTTTAAGAAAGATTAACTGTTTAGCTATTAAAAAAGTCTTTATAATGAACCGATCGAAGCTAATCGTGATTGGTGGTAATAAACTGAATTATTACTGTTAAGTCGCTAACAACGCTAGCCTTATTTATCCATTTATAGATATTTAAGTTCTTAGACACCATAGAATGCGTTAAAGATATTTCATAGTTTTTTTCCTTCTCGTAAATACTGTTTCTCGTTGTTTAGGTCAAGCTCTTGAAGTAAGTGGAAAGCATCGTAACGAAAATGAAAATGGATTTGAGTCTAGTGAGTTCCACAGGAAGTACACTCTTCCAGATGATGTAGATGTGACAGCGCTTACGTCAAACATCAGTCAAGAAGGCGTTTTGCATATAGAAGCTCCTAAAAAGCTTCTTGCAACTTCTGGAGAATCAACAAAAGAGACTTTTAAATGTACTTTAGATGTACAAGGTTTCAAACCAGAAGAAATTTCTATTCAAGTAAGAGGCAGAGATTTAGTTGTTCATGGTGAAACAAAAGCGGAAAGCAGTGGTGAACATGGTTCAAGTTTTCACCACAAGAAGTTTACTAAACACGTAGCTTTGCCAGATGATGTAGATCCATCTAAATTAAGTTCTCGTTATACGAAAGACTCTAAATTAACAATTGAAGCTCCGCGAAAGCAACTACAAGCTCCACTCAAACTTGAAATCAAAATGGAAGAATAAAATGGTGTCAGTTATTCGTGTTGTTTGTAAAAACATTTTTTTAATACTACTAAATGTTAATGTTTACGCTAAATGTCGTATATTTTAAATGGCTTTTTTTAAATTATAAATTTTTGTATTATTAGTTTATTTAAAGAAAAAAGAAAAACTTATTTATTGAATAAAGTATTTGTTTTATCAGTCAGAATCACTACTGGCTAAGTTCTTAGTTGAAACTTAGAGGGATAAATATTTATGCCTAGGTGGTCAAACTTCTACCTCTGGCTAATGTTGTTTGTGTATTCAATGTGCTTTAAAGCATCATCTGTTCTTTCAGTACGGACTTTGGCAAAGTCCGAACTGAAAGCAATGTATCGATACATAAAAGATTAAATTTCTGTGTAATTATCTCAGCATTAATTATCATATTTATATTATCAAAATTCAAAAAATTAAAACTTGAACACATTTAAATGGTATTAAGATTAGTATTTATGGTTAATCTGAAAAGAACTGTACATAAACACTGCTATAAAATATTTATTCAGAAATACAATACTTACTGTTAAAAATTTTATAATAAACCTTTTTAATCAAACTATTAAATCTTTTATCAGCAATTCAAAGTTTTAAATAATTGTGAGCTGTTTATTTTCAAATATTTTTTGAAAATTCTACGAATATCTTTTAAAAGACAATGCAAACCTTCAAACTTAGCTAGTTATCTTTTAACTAAACTTATTTTCTATCTTTTAATACGCCATCTTTATGGAAAAAATAAATAATTCTTTACGGCAGATTTTTTTATAGTTAGCAGAACTACGTTAATATTTCTTTATTTTTTTACGTTGTCCGTACGTTAGCTTAACGTTAGAATGTTAGGTTAATACTTTAATGTTTTTTTAACGTTGTGTCAACGTTAGCTTAACGTAAGAATATTACGTTAAAAAGATTACGTTAACTCAACGTTGAATTAACGTAAAGTAACGTAAAACGCAATTTTAACATAAATACAACGTTAGTCCAACGTTGTGTGCCTGCTGGGTTAGATCACTTTTTGTTCATAAACAGCTTTACGGTAAATAACAAAATATCTAATAACCATTTGAGAAACGTATAGCTGAGTTATCAAATGTGAAGTGTGAATTGAATGCTGCATGCAATTGATAATAATTGACCGGAACTAATATTTTGCCGGAAGCGGAACCGAACCGAAAACCAATTTTTATTATTCATAACCTAAACAGGGACAGAAAATAAACCCATTATTAAATTAATAAAAATAACTAATAACAGAATCCAACAACTGGAAGATTTTCTTGACAAAAAAGAAGTTTTTCCAAATTTTCTGGATGGATTCTATTTCTTTCGTTTGAGAAAATATCTCCAGCTGTAGAATACAGTCTTTCAACCTCCATAGATGTTGAAGGTGGTGTGAGGAACTTTTTTACTACCTTAGACAACGCTAACTTGATTTTGGAAATCGCATTTTTTTCATAGCTTTTTCAAAACTTAAGCCATGGGACTATCCAAAAAATCATTTAACGTTTCTTTTATCATTTTGGAAGACGAACGTGCATTTGGTCCTATTTGAGTTTGATATTGTGCAATAATTTTTGACAGTACATAAACAAACAATGCTTTTTTTTATTGTTGCCAGATAGAAATTGAGTTGCAGGAGCCAATTCATTTAGAGCTTTAAAACTGTTTATTTGGGACATGACAACCTATTTAACATTTTGCAAAGCACCTTGAGATCTGAAAAAAAAATCATTTGTTTCTTGGATCGAGTAGAGTAGCATCTGAATAATGCTCTGTTTTTTCTATTGCTGAAAAATGTTTTTCCATCGCATTTTTTATAGCAACTTTCAAATCCTGAACACTGATGTTGCTAGAGGTTGTTTCCAAAGCTTTAATTATTGCTGTTACAATTGGAATACTGGAACTGATACAAGAGTCAACACCTGACTGTTGCCTCTTTAAAAAAAACAGTTTTTTTTAACAGCAGCTCTAATCTTGGATAAAAAATTCAATTCCCACTAAAAAAAAATTTGATTAAGATAGCATTAATGGCTGGCTTCAGGTGTAAAGTTCGTTCAAGCATATAATAGGTAGAGTTCAATATTGTGGCAGCATCGCATTTTAATCCAAGTCTGACTTTTGTATCGATTGGGATTTCTTGCTGTCTGTAAAGTTCAGTGTAGAAAGCAGTAGAATGGGATGCGTAAGAACAGAGTTTTCAATCTGCAATCAGTCCGTTTATGATTGAATGTGAAAAAAGTTCTTTTTTGAGATGGCAAGTGGAAGGGAGTGCTTTGGGCATCCAGCTAAGACATAATTACAGCTTGGTTCATTAAAGGCTGCTTTTACATTTGCTGTATTTTCTCTTATGCAAAATTTAATTTTTGAAGCAATTTCCCACTCCTCGGTTGTTTTTTCGATCTTGTTGAAAATGTTTTTTGCGATATGCTTTTCATCAAATAGAGAACAAGAGATGAAGAATTTGATACGTTTCCAATCTTTGGAAATGAAGTGAACTGTCATCCCCAGGTAGCCATGATGAAATGGTAACCATACATTAAGACTGACACACTTTTAATTCTTTTGATTAAACCAACTTTTCCTTGAGAGCGAACTTTAATTTTTCATAAGTTAGATCAGTAGTATTTTTTGCTAGCAATTTCGTAATTAGGAGCAACAAGAGCATGGTGTCTCAAAAACCCACCGTCATTGACAATTGATCATGGTCTAGAACCATTACTTCAAACATTAACTTTTGAAATTTTTTTTTTTTTTTTTGGGGGGGGGGGTGTTTTAGGGTACTTTTGCTCCCAGGCCTCTGCCTTCAAAATTTTTGGCAAGGCCTCCTCATTTGGCATAGGTACAAACATACTTAAGTTTGGAGTTTGCACAATTTGTGAAAGTGTCCTATCTGGAACAAAAAAAAATCCTGCGGGCCCCCATGCATTGAGGGAAATTATACTCCCTATAGTATAGACTATAACAAACATTTTTTTATGTTGGCAAACTAGGATATTAAGTCAGAATTTTAACTTTTCTATTGATTAGCTTGTTAATTGTGATAAATTAGAAAAACAATGTACGTACTTTTAAATTGAGCCCTCCCCCGCATACGCTTTTGTACCCTTTTTGAAGACCTCCCCTCCCCCCTGTAAGCGTACCTACTCTTATCAAATGTAAACTACATAGCGTGAAAAATACTCAAAATAAAATAAATTTTTTATAGTAAAAAGTTTATTAAAAAAAATTATTAATAGTTAATACAATCGGTTATAATTAAAATTGAGTTTAACGTTGCTGCTGCCGCTACTCAAATATTTATTACGCTTGGCCTTATAACATTTGCCTTTATATATTTGACCACGCGATAAGGTATTTTTTTAAAATATTATTTGACCACGCGATAAGTTATTTTTTTAAAATATTATTTGACCACGCGATAAGATATTTTTTTAAAATATTATTTGACGACGCGATAAGTTATTTTTTTAAAATATTATTTGACCACGCGATAAGATATTTTTTTAAAATATTATTTGACGACGCGATAAGGTATTTTTAAATCTTTAAAATCTTTATTCTATTCTGCTAATATAAGTTTAATCAGTTATATGATCTAAAATCTTAAACAATTTATATATTTTTTACTTTTTTTTTTTATTTTTTTTTTTAGTTGATTAAGGTGCTCCAAGAAGTCCTTACGGTCTTATCACAGAGCACTGCGGAAGGGCATTTAATAGGAAGTTCACGCCTCCTTCCCAACCGATGTCGCAAAACTTGCTCAGAGGTGGGGTAAATATATATATGGTTTGTATTGATCTCTTGCAGCCTGTTCATTGTGGATGCAATTACATTACCATTTATGGTGCATTACATTACCATTTATGGAATACAATAATTTTCAGCAAAGCGTTTAAAAATCATTTTGCGAGTATGTGGCACAACAATGAGCAGCACAATGCTGCATCATTCTTAACTGTCATGAAAAAAACAGGCAAACACATCTTAAGTCGAATAGATAATTTAGAGAACCAAAAGACGCCTTTGCCGATTTTATCATCCATAATTTTTGTGATTCACTCAACATTGTTCTTTAAAGAAATAATTGATGGAAATATGTTCATGACCTGTTTCAATTTAGACTGCAAGTTGATTTAGAAATCCATATATAGACTACGGCTGGAAACGCACGTTAAATCAAATAGGACCAGAATGGTCTGATATCTGAAAAACCAGCAGTTAAAACAGACACAAATTATTGAATCATTAAACAGACATTTAGATTTTTTAACCTTAGTAGAAAAAACGTCTTACATATAAAGAGCAAAAAAGTCATGTTTTGCGTTACGTTTTGTAGGAAGTTCTAGTGGTAAATTTAAATTCCGTGAACAATTTCTGGTATTATATCCATTGAAACTAATGGTGACTTCTACGATTGCAGATACTAATTTGAATTATTGCAATAACAAACGTATTGGTTTGCGAAGTATAAAAACATAAGTATTTTTAGTATTACAACTGCAATTTATTACAAATTTTGAAAACAAACAATTATGGTAAAACGTAACAAAACGCCCACCAGATACTGTGTTCTTGTAGTTTACCAACTTTTGTTGTATGTCTTGCGATTATCTTTAAATATTCTGCGATATTGGAACCCATTAATTTGTTTTTCAAGCAATACAGTTGAATTTGCTAAGTACTCAAAAACAAATCATCGCTTTAGTTAACGTTTTCCGTGAGTATTGACAAAAAGGCAAAATTCATTTCAAACAAGATATATGTATACTAATGTAATCGCTCTCACATAATTAATAAACATTGTTTGTGTCGTACTTTGTAAAGTACGACACAAAAAAATTTGCAATGTTTGGTGTAGCAATGTTTGTGTCGTACGGAATTCCATCATATCATCATAAATGAAGCATTTTTCTTAAGATAAAAGTCTATATAGACTTTAGCTTGGAATCTTAACGCGGTTTTTATTCTATTAAATTCAGAAGTCGTGTGACTGCTTTTAGTAGTGAGTACAGTATTGATAACTTCAACTTTGAGGCAATGAACTGATTTGATTTTTGGTGCACAAATCTCCAATCACATCTAGTCAAGGATGTAATGCAACTTATTAATTTGTTGTCAAGTAAATAATTTAGCCCAGAGT